ACTGGTTTGCTCACAAGAGCTGTGACTCAATCCATCTTGTAGACTTACAGAGTGGTCAAATCTCTAATTTCCAGATAAAAACTTTGGAGTCTACCAGGTGTCATTCAGGCCTGTTTCAATTCTTTGCTATAGAGGTCAAGTCTTCTCAACAATGCACAGGCCACTAGGTCAGGTGGGGTAGAGGGCAGAGGTGAGGGGAGGAAGCCTGCCTCAGGTGTGGACAGGGCCACACACATGCCCACATCAGCTGCAGAGCACAGCACAATGTAACAGAACATGCAGCACAGCATACTGTGGCCCATGTACAAATGGCTATAAGAATCGGAGGTGTCAGAAAGAGGGACAGCAGTTTTACAATCATGCATCTTAAGAAAGGCTTTGGAAGGAGGTAGCACAAAGCATTTTAATGTGCCTGGGTGCAGAATTGCAACAGACACGAGCGGAAGTGGGAAGAGGGAGGACAGGGCGAGTTTGGAGCCGCTGGCCACCTGGCCTGGCAGACTAGGATGTGGGCCCAGGAGCAGCCAAGCGGCATCCAGATTGCTGGGATGGAAAGAAGCTGCATTTGAAAGACTTTGGGAGGTTGTAGGGAAGAGGGAGCCCAGTTCAGAATCAGGTCTCATATTTCTTGTTTATTTTGCAGTTTTAGGCCGGGGCTGGGTTTGAACCCACCATCTCCAGCATAAGGGGCCGGCGCCCTACTCTTTTGAGCCACAGGCGCCACCCCAAATCTCATGTTTCATTCAGTGTCTTTGGGATGTGAATAAAGGAAATCTCTAATCTCATTATAACTCTTGTAGCTACATATTTATAAGGCCTCTTGAAGGGTGGTTTGCTTTCTGGAAAGAAGGTGGCAGGTGGCCAGTTCTGTTTTATGATGCTTCTTTCAGATGTCCTTTGTCACAGGCCAACTGGGGGCTTCATTTTGGGATTTGGGGGCAGGAGTCATTTGAGATCTCTGCCCCCATCCTCTGATTGCCGGAGTTTGTGGGGAAGCTGTCTGGGTGTACCAGCTCTGCTCTCTCTCCCCCTGATCCTGTCTGGTCTTTGGGAGCTTTGGGGAGTGAAGGCAGGGAAGTGTTAGGGGACAGGTAGGGTCTGGCTGAGCCCCTGCAGCCTCAGGGCACGTGAGAAGAGTGAAGACCTCTCTGACCCCTGCTTCTGTCCTCCCCGGACAACGTCCAGTTGGGAACTAAGGTGAACCGTGCAAAGAATGTTCAAGCCGGCCCAGAGGGTCTCCTTCCCTCTGTCCTCCTACTCCCATCCCTATCTTTTCCTTTCCTTTCCTCGGGGGTTTGCAAACCAGGCTCAGGCCATTTGAACACTATAGTGGGCTAAGGAAAGAGAACAGGAGCAGCAGGGAAACTGAGTCTGATAGGATCCTAAAGAAAGAAGGCTGTGCTCCCCCCGCAGCACCAAGACGCAGCTTACAGACTCAGGAAAGCATGGAGCAGAGACAGAGACACACACGTGCAGATCACGGAGCTCCCGGGCGGAGGAGAGGAAAGGTGGCCGTGCAGAGATGGAGGTGGGAACCGGGGCTTCCTCTCAGTGGTGAGTAGGGTTGGTGCAGCGTGTTTAGCGTGAAGACTCTTTCCACACAGCAGCTCACTGTGTCCTCATAGCTCCCACAATGATGAATATTATTAACACGGTCACATCACGTACGTGAGGACTCTGATATTCAGGTGAAGTGTGTCCAGAGCCACAGAGCTAGTGCTGGGGCTGGGACCAAGGTCTGTGGATGATAAAATCCGGTCTTTCTCTTTAGCCACACAGGCTGATGGAAATATCCCCAGCTTATGAGAATGTGTAACCATGGAGGCAGTTTTGTCTCTGCATACAAGTTATCAATTAGTGGAACCACAGTGGGAAAAAAAAACCAAAGCCCTTACCTTCTGCCACAGTCACCAGCAACCAGCAGACCAGGGCCGAGCAGGAGAAGCGGTGTCTGCCAGCCATGGCTTCTGCCCCACAGTCACTGCGTTGATCCCAGTGTTGCTTTAAAGGGGGGCTGGTGAGTCACCTGCCCCCTGACTCAGGTAATTTGCATTTGCATCTGGACCACAGAGATCAGGGATTGTGGTGTGAGGGTGAAAAACCAGCAAGGAAATACCAGACAGTATTTGTCAACCAGAAGCTTCTTATAATGATGTCTCCTGGGAGTGGGATTCTGGACAACCACACCCTCACCATCCTTTTAATCCTCCCAGTCTTCTCCCACCTTAGGGCCTCCTGTTCCCTTGTGTGGACGAATCTTCTGCAAGAGAAATAAGCTGTCTGGAAATACTCAGCACCACCTCCCTTTGTGCAGCTCACCTACCTGAACAAGCAGAACAGGAGAGGGAGGGCAATTTCCAGAGGCTTCCTGCCCCATGCAGCTTGAAGAAGCCGTTCTCCCCCAGCCCCTGCTGCCCCAGGGTCGATGCTGCGGCTTCTCAGCTCTGCTTTATGTGCAGGAAGCAAGGGCCGCAGCATCAGAGAGCTGTCTTTCCTAGCAGAGTAGCTGTCTCATAAGCATGAACATTTGGGAGAGTAGCTGCCTGTAGGATGTGCCTGGTACGTCTGCACCTGGTTCCTGAGAGAAGGACTCTGTCAGCTGCTGGAAGATTGCCAGGTGATTCAGAGCATGGACCTTGGAATTAGGACAAACTTTAATCTCAGTGTCTTTTCTTAATAGCTGGGTGACTGTGGTCAGGTGTGTCATCTGCAAAATGGGGCTTGGAGCACCTTCCTCAGAGGAACGGTATGAATTAAGGAGATGATTGACATGAACCCTGGCACCCGGGCTGTGGGAGGGAGTGTGTGCGGTTGTCACTGAGTTATAACACCCCCAGCTGATGACTTCCTCTCTTAGGGGCTCGTACTTGCCAAACCATTTAATCGCTCAAAAGACGTCCATCTCGAGCAGAATGTTGTCCTGGTGTCATATGAAAAAATAAACTGTCAGCAGTTTAATTTTTTAATTTTTTTT